AACCTGAGGATGTACTTGAACCTGAGGATGGAAAGCTTGTAGCTGAGCAAGAGGAACCTATGATCATTCCAAATGGACCTATGACCCGATCAAGAACCAAGAAACTCAAAGAAGCCGTAGGAGACATCATCAAGCAAGCTTACAAGACGGTTCAAGAGGGAAAAGAGTATACATCAAATACATTGATTCTGCTCCAAGTTCAAGATGGCTAAGTGAACTTGTGATCTAATCTTGTACTCTTTTCCTATCTCTGGTTTTGTCCCAATGGGTTTTCTAGAGATAGGTTTTTAATGAGGCAAAATTAGATCACTTATTTACCCTAAGTTTATTAGCCCAAACCCACGATAAGTTTTGGCCAAATGAAGAGAAGAAGAGCCAAATTCAAATTCAAACTTGACAGCTATTATTTTGTGTATTTCCGAAACTCATTTATGTTTTGGCTGACTTGTTCTTCTTTATATTGTCTTGTGTTTTCATTTGTAAAATTCATCTTATTTTTTATCAAATCTCTTTTCAATAAGATCATTTATTCTTTGAACTTGTAGTTTTAGAGTGTGTAATATCTTTTTAGCAAAACCGATTTCAAGGTATGTCATATTTTTAAGATCACCCGGAAATATTAAGAGTCTTCCATAACTTTTGTGTGACCCTTCAATTCATTTCCTTGTGCTTGACTCCTTGTATGTCTAAATCAAGTTTTATCCGATTCAGTCATTACAGTGCCGGTCAAAGGAATATCTTCACCAAGATCATATCAGATATTATAGGAAAAAAAATGTTGTTTTAGATTATAAGGTTTTCAAATTTTAATGCAAAACTAATATATATTTTTTGTCATTTGTATTATGGAGTTGCTTTATCATGGGTTATGGGTTGAATTGTGAATTCAATTCTTATTAAAATTGTTTTCTGTAATGAAAGATGTCGTTTACTGAATTTTATCAAATTTGTAAATTGTATCATATTTTTCTTTATAAAGAAAAAACTTTATATTTCCCTAAAGTGACAACAACTTCAAAATTGATCTCATCAATCTCAATCCATCGGAAATTGATTTCTAATTAATTATTAGTGTTCATCATCGATAGAGAAGTTGTTTGTAAAACTCAGATATTCTCATTAATGAAATCAAGAGTTTGTTACATGGCTTTATACATATACTCACTAAACTAACCGAATCTATACCGAAGTTAAATAGATATAAACCGGACAATTCCAGAGCCCTTACCGATCCTAATATTCACACGTATATGACTAAGTATGAGTTATATACAAACTACACTCTAATAGCCCCCTTCAAGATGGAGGTGTAAAGATATTAACAACTTCCATCTTGCGTATAAGATCATGAAATGTAGCAGGGTGTAAAGCTTTGGTAAGAGTATCAGCCAATTGGTTTCCGATCTTCACATACATGGTTTTCAGAAACCCTTCATCAATGGCTTCGCGAGTCTTGTAACAATCCAGTTCCACATGCTTAGTACGCTCGTGAAACACAGAATTATTAGCAATATGAAGTGCAGCTGTGTTATCACCATAGAGATAAGCAGGTGGGGTAAACGGAACTTTCAAATCAACTAGTAGACGAGACAACCAAATGAGCTCTTTGGTGGCCAAAGCCATGGCACGAAATTCAGCCTCTGCAGTGCTACAGGAGATAGTGTTCTGTTTCTTTGACTTCCAAGACACCAATGAATCACCTATGAACATGCAGTAGCCCGTGACAGAACGTCGAGTATCAATGCAGGATGCCCAATCAGAGTCGGAGAATCCCCTGAGATCAAAGTTTTGGTCTGCAGCATAAAAGAGACCTTGACCAACTGTGCCTTTCAAATAACGGAGAACTTTGTGAGCCGCCGTGAGATGAAGATCGCGTGGATCATGAGAGAATTGACACAATGTATTGACCACATAAGAAATGTCAGGTCGTGTAATCTGGAGATACATAAGCTTCCCCATCAGTTTCCTAAAGGAAATAGGGTCATCGAGAGGTATACCTTTGTCTTTGGACAATTTGATGCTAGGATCCATCGGAATGGTGGATGGTTTGCAGGCTAAGAATCCAGTCTTTGCCAACAGCTCCAAAGTGTATTTCCTTTGACATATGGAAATGCCCTGTTTCGATCTTGCAATTTCCAGACCCAGAAAATACTTTGCCGTGCCAAGATCTCTGAGCTTAAAATGAGAAGCTAACTCTTCCTTAAAAGCATGCACCAAATCATCATTATTCCCAACAATAAGAATATCATCTACGTATACCAATACTCCGAGGAAGACACCATTCTTGCTCTTGATGAAAAGAGTATGACCACCAACAGACTTTTCAAATCCCATGCCACAAAGAGTAGATGAAAGCTTCAAAAACCATTGTCTAGAAGCCTGTTTGAGACCATATATTGATTTATGAAGTCGACAAACAGCTTTAGGAGGTAATTGCTCATCCTGTAAATCGGCATATCCTGGAGGAATCTTCATATATATCTCCTCATCTAAGTCACCGTTGAGGAATGCATTAGAGATGTCGAGTTGGTTGACTGACCAGTTCATCTTTGCGGCAAGAATGAATAGCATCCGAACAGTAGTATGTTTAGCAACAGGGGAGAAGGTTTCTTCATAGTCTAGACCTTCTTGTTGCGTATAACCTTTAGCGACTAACCTCACTTTATACCTCTCAACACTTCCATCCGCATGATGTTTGATTGTAAAGACCCATTTACAACCTATAGCAACTTTGTTCGGTGGTAAAGTGCAAACACTCCATGCATGAGTCCTTTTCATAGCCCCAATCTCAGCTTTCATCGCATCACAATAGACCTGTATATCCTTGGCTTCTGAATACTTTTGTGGTACAATGTGGTTGGTGATAGTATTAATAAAGGCTCGAAAAGGCTCAGATAGATATGAGTAAGAGATATAATTGGATATGGGATATAGAATAGTACTAGTAAGGTTATAGCAATGAAAGTCCTGCAAGTGTTTAGGGATTTTCTTTTGTCTGCGAGACTTAGACTCAGAAGGAGTAAAAGCCTCAGAAGATAACACATCATTAGTTGTATGTGTATCAGAAGATGATTGCGCTAGAGGCAAATGTTCATCATGGGAAGCAGGAAACTGTAAATGAGGAAAGAATGCTTTTGTATCATCCTTGATGTTGGAAGATACAAAAGGGTAAATATCCTCATGGAAAATGACATGCCTCGAAATGGAAACAGCATATGTCTCTATATCTAATAGCTTGTAGCCCTTATAACCAGCTGGATATCTTAGAAACACACAGGCTCTAGCCTTATGTCTACCTTTTGGGGATGTTGAACTGTAACACAAACAACCGAAGTTCTTAAGAAACTTATAATCAGGAGATTTGCCAGTTAACTTTTCATAAGGAGACTTGTTTTCAAGTACAGGGCTCGGTAGTCTATTGATTAAAAACACTGCGGTTAGGACACAATCCCCCCAAAACTCTAAGGGAACATTAGATTGGAATAATAAGGCTCTTGCTACATTCAATATATGCTGATGCTTTCTCTCAACTACAGAGTTTTGTTCAGGAGTTTCCGGACATGAATGATATGCAACTATGCCTTTTGAATTAAACAAATCAGTGAACTTCAATTCATGAGCATTATCAGATCAAACAGACCTAACATTAGTTCCATATTGAGTTTCCACCATTGCAATGAAACTAGGAAAGATATGCAATACATCCGATTTAGATTTCATTAGGTAAATCCAGGTTGCTCTGCTATAGTCATCAACTATTGTCAAAAAATATTTGAAACCATCAACAGTAGCAACAGAAAAAGGACCCCATGTGTCTATGTGAACAAGTTCAAATGATGCTTTACAAATGTTATGTCCAGAAGGGAATGGTAAACGTTTTTGCTTGGACAAATGACAAATATGGCAAACATGATCCTTTTTATTCATTCGTTTTGAAACATTCAAATGTAAAACATCAGAAAGCAAAATCGATTTTGTTTTGAGATGGATGACCCAATCTCGAATGCCAAGTATGAACATCAGCCAAGACACTAGAACAAACAGGTGGAGATGAACAGATGGTCGAAGTACCTTTTAAAGAAACAACATGACTAGACTCATTGATATCCAGAATGTATAAATTTCCAACTTGACTACCGTGACCAATCGTCAATGCCTGTGTAAGTTCCTGAATAAACCATTCATCAGATGTGAAACTGACTTTAATACGCAACGTCTTAGTCAAAACACTGACACTGATGAGATTGAATTTAAACTCAGGTATGTAAAGCACATTATGCAGAGAGATAGCATCAGTTAATTGAATGAATCCTATGCCTTCTATCTTGACTGTATAGCCATTAGGAAGAGTAACAAAGGTTCTATTTAGCGGTCTATATCCTGTGTAAAGGCTCCTATTGTGAGTAACATGATGAGTAGCCCCGGAATCTATGACCCAAGCTCTAAGAGACACAGCTGGTTCCGTAGAGATAGATGAAACAAGCATGTCATAATAAGATTTAGAGTATAGATCCAGAAATGTACCTGATATCTGGGAGACAACAGGTACAGAGTTTGAAGTCGAAGCACAATCTTTTCAGGTATAGATTTCGCAGATGAATTCTGAAGCTTAGAACTTAGATAAGAAATCATGGTTTGGATCTGATCCTTTGACATGTCCTCATAAGAAGACTCAGATCGATCACATTTCTGCTCTGTTTGGTTCAGGTATGGTGTGGCTGCAAGGTTCGTGGCACCGACAGTCTGAGACTTCTTCCACTTTGGACCAGAACCCGGAGGGTACCCATGCAATTTGTAACACTTATCAGCCGTGTGTCCCATCTTGTGACAATGAGAGCATTTTGGCTTTTGAAAGCCCCCTTGAGCTAGAAGGATCTGAGACTGATCACTGATTGGAGTAGCTTGAGTCTGAAAAGCAGCCGGATTAGAAAAGGAAGGTTGAGTTGATCCTCCAACAAATCTTTGGCTCTCGTCTTGATCAAGCATGTTGTATATGTCAGTCAATCCAGGTCGAGGTTCATGTTCAAGATCTGACCTCGGATATTAGCAAAGTTTTCATTTAGTCCCATAAGAAACTGTATGATCTTGCTTGTTCCAGCTTCCTCCAGGAGTTCCTTGACATGGTCACAATTACATCTCTTAACGATGGTAGTTTTAGTGTTTGCTAACTGCTCCCACAGAGTCTTCTTCTTCGTGTAGTATGCAGATAGATCTAGATTTCCTTGTTTAAGAGATGTAATAGCCTGTTCCAATTGATACTTCCTGGGAAGATTACTGACTTTGAATCTCGAGAAAAGATCAGTCCACATTTCAGCTGCATCATCATAATAGAGAATGCTATCGTAAATTTCCTGATTCACTACATTCAGTATCCACGTCTTAACCATACTATTGCATCTACTCCAGATCTTAAACAGATCATCATCAACGTTAGGTCGCGGTAGAGATCCATCAACAAAGCTAAGTTTATTCTTTGCATCAAGACTCATACGCATAACTATTGACCAATTGTTGTAATTAGATCCATCGAGAGTGTGAGTAACGATAGAAAGACCTGGATGATCGGCGGAGTGTAGGAAGAAATGACTATGAACACTGTCATACGATTCCTGCTTGGAACCAGATCTGGTGCGTCGATTTGCGAAATCCATAGGTGGAGTCATCGTGATGTCTTCGTTTGGGAGAAAAGCATCAGCGGTTGATTCGTCTTGGACCTCAGCTCGACCATGAGTTTTCTTGCCTTGTTTCGCCATCACAAACGATTTGAGCTTCAATGTGTCGAAGAATCGAAGAAATTTGAACTCCCAAAGGTGATTCAAGCGCTTCAAACGTCAATCGCAACACAGATTCCGATTCTTATCGAAGTTTAAACGGTGAAAACAACAACAAAATGAAAAATCTGAGCGAAAACGAAGATGAATCACAGAGATTTGAGCGAAAAGAGCTCTGATACCATATTAGTGTTCATCATCGAGAGAGAAGTTGTTTGTAAAACTCAGATATTCTCATTAATGAAATCAAGAGTTTGTTACATGGCTTTATACATATACTCACTAAACTAACCGAATCTATACCGAAGTTAAATAGATATGAACCGGACAATTCCAGAGCCCTTACTGATCCTAATATTCACACGTATATGACTAAGTATGAGTTATATACAAACTACACTCTAATATTAATGTCTTCAGATTTCACAGAAGACGTCGATAAGGGTTTCGAGAAATATCACCCCTTTGATTCAAAAACGCGTTTCTCTTTTTTTTTCTCTCTCTCACGTTTGTAGAGTTTGTGTTATCAATTCTCTATGTCGAATCCATTCCCAAGATACAAAGGAAGAAAAACTGAGATTATTACATTCATTTTTTTTCGTTTTCTACTTTTACGTTTTATATTTTCGTGAAATGGGTTTTGACTTTTGGGTTAGCAATCCATATCTCATTTTTGTTTAGCTAATGATTTGTTTGTTGTTTCCTCCTTGAAATTCTGGAAATTTATAATAATTGATAGTTGCGGTTTTACTAGGAAACTTCAGATATAGTGAGGGTCTGTTTGTTTCACGCATCTGGATGAAGGTGAAAATCGATGTTTGTCTAGTAAATAAAATGATCAACATTCAGATGAATCAAGTGAGTTTTAAAAATTATGGACATATTTTCGGGATCATCTGGCTAATCTCATATGAAACTGATTCAGTAAAAAAAAATGAAATATTGGTTTTTTTTTTGTTTATCGATGAAGCCGACAAATTTTTTTTAATAGTATGGTTAAGTTGTTTGGTACGCAAGAATAAGTGTTTGGTATAAATGAGAATGTTATGTTTGTCAACCAGTTTTTTTGTGTCATTTTAGAGAATTGCCCAAAAAAACCTAGATTATCTCGACAATTCTCTTCTCCGATATTCAACTCTCACTCTCTTATCCGACATTCATCTCTCACTCCACTCCGGTGACCTGCTTCTCTATCCGGAGAGTCACTCCGGCGATCTGATCCTCTCCCCCGGCGAGCCGCTCCGGCAGTTTCTCACACAGGCAAGCTTCTCCTCTTTCTTTTATTCAATTTTCTTTTAGCTCTTAGCTTTTATAGACATCGATTGAGGCTCAATTTCAATTTCTTACTGGATTTTAGTCTTCTGGGTTTACTTGTTTATGCATCAATTGTTGTTTCGGTTTTAAGTATGAACAAGTATGAGGTTGTTGTTGAATCAATGGTTCTAATATATAGTTGGTATTGGTCGTTTATTATTTGTGAATATAGCGGGGTTTGAAGAAGTCATTCAGAAATATAACTCATGTGCTTTGCTTTTATTGGAAAGGTTATTATGTGCTTTGCTTATTTAGATTACAGTATCGCTGAAACTCTAACTTATGCCTTTTGATTCTTGTTCATTTTCTCTCATCTCATCTCAGCGTCTCTGTTTTTCTCATCTCACAGTTTATGCTTAGAACTGCTCGTATTTGTACGCTTTTAATCGTATGTGTGTTGTTGTTGTTTGAACTATCGGTTGTTCTTTATTTGAAGCATATGTATTTGTGTTTTGCAACTTAAGTTCTAAGTCTGACACCTGTTTATAGTAGCATGTAATTAATCTTGTCTCCTCTTCTTATGTTTTATAGCTTTATAGCTTGTTTGATTATCGTTTCCTATGTTTATACTGTTCAGAATCATAGTTTTGCTCCTTTTGTGTAGATAGTTGCTAACACTTCTTAAGAGAAACAGTGACATCCATCAGTGGTACTGATGTGAGTATCTTTCCCTCTAAACACATAATTTACTGGTTTTGTATTGTTAATGTATTTGATTCTTTAGAACCAAGAGTGTCAAACTGTTTTATTTTATCTAGGATCTTGGGTAGTTCCATTTTCATGTTTCAAGTGATGATGCTGCTTAAGTGCTAATTAAGGTCATGTTTCGGAATCAGATATTGTCCTGTTGTTATAAGTGACTATCTTTATGTGATCTTTGTCCTTGTCTTTCCTGTCTGTGATGTGTTGTGCGTAAATGTTTCTAGTTTGATACAAATTTGTTTTGATGCTGTAGTTGTCTTTGCTGATTGTTCAGAAAAACCCAGATGCCAATTGTTTGTTGTAAGCATTGATTTCTAAAAGATCTCATTTTTAGTCTTGGGTGTTTCTCACAGTGAGAAAACAAGTTAAGTGTTCCTGAGGAGTAAAAGAGAGGAAAAAAGAGAATGAGAATAGTCGGGTTAACAGGAGGCATATCGTCTGGGAAGAGTACAGTCTCCAACCTCTTCAAGGCTAGTGGCATTCCCGTTGTTGACGCTGATGTCGTTGCTCGAGTAAAGTCTCTGCCTTTTTGCAATTTTTTATCTTTCTTTATTAGTTAGCTCATCATAGTAAATTGGCCATATCCTAGATGCAATCTAGCTAAAGAGAAGTTAACAAAAGCTGCGGAATTGTGTGTGTGTTTGCTATATAGAATGTATTAAAGAAAGGAAGTGGTGGGTGGAAAAGAGTAGTTGCAGCCTTTGGGGAGGAGATTCTGCTTCCTAGTAGAGAAGTAGACCGGCCAAAACTTGGTCAGATGGTGTTCTCATCCGATTCCAAACGCCAACTTCTAAACAAGTAAGAAACTGAGAACTCCCCTTATTTTTTTGTTTATTGGATGAGATCATGAAAATTGATTGCTGTTTTAGGCTTATGGCTCCGTACGTATCAAGTGGTATCTTTTGGGAAATTTTGAAACAATGGGCAAAGGGAGCTCAAGTGATAGTTGTTGATATCCCGTTGTTGTTCGAAGCAAAGATGGATAAATTGACAAAACCCATTGTAGTTGTGTGGGTCAGTGAAGAAACACAACTCGAGAGACTGATGGAGAGAGATGGACTTAGTGAGGAAGATGCAAGAAACAGAGTGATGGCTCAGATGTCGTTGGATTCGAAAAGAAGCAGAGCTGATGTTGTGATCGATAATAATGGCGGTCTCGACGAACTCAACCAACAGTTCAATTTGGTTTTGTCTGAAATCAAAAGACCGTTGACATGGACTGAGTTTTGGCGTTCAAGGCAAGGAGCCTTCTCGGTCTTTGGTCTGCTTACTTCAGGGTTCTTTGTTTGCAAACAGCTCAGTATTGGATCTTAGCAACTAATCAGAATATTGATTGGGTTGGCCACACATGGAGTTGAAGATTGATAACTTATTATAGAGGTTCTGTTTCAAAACAAAACTTCCTTGTGACTTAATTTAAATAACGATTAAACTTTTGTCTCCAACAATAATTGATTTTCCAATTGTTATGTTATTACGTGACGATAACTCTTTTGGTACTGAGTTATTAGGTTCGGTAGAGTGCAATCTAATGACCATATGATATCAGATTTCGTTCCATGGTTGGCATACATCTAACCTAAGCTAACCTAAGACTAAACATGAACCATCGTGGTTCACTATTTCAGATTAAACATGAACCATATGATATCAGATTTCGGTCCATGGTCTGCTATTTGACCTTGCTCTCCTTTGAGAATCCTCTCTCTTCTCAGTCGCCCACTACAAAACTGTTTACATCATCCATGATGAATTATCAGTATGGTATATATATATATCGTAGAAAAATCAAGTAATAAAAGTTGAAACAGTATCCACATAAGTACACATATGTTATAGTTTTAGTATGCTATATTGTAGTACAAAGTTTCCAATAAATTATAGTTGATTGAAGTCACAGAATACGGCTCTATATGTGATGTTATCAACGAGCTTTCTATTGGCTCGAGATCCATTTTAACTTTAAGGGGAAAAAGTGAAGTGTCGGTTTTATCTACCTGAGAAAAAAAGATATCTCACAAGGCTTGCGAATATAAGACAAGATATGACATGTTGTGTCACAAATCGTTGTGGGTGCATATGCTCAAGCTCAAGTATAGATGAAGAAATAAAAACCTTAGTTAAGATAATTTTAAATTAAAAAATATTATCATGATCACATGCAAAGTACACTTGTAACGTGTCATCTGAAGACAGTTAGATGGAAAAGGAAAGAAACTCCATAAGAGGAAACCCAAATCTTGTTTGTCTACTTCATAATTTTTTAATGTAAAGGTATATATATATAAGGGGAAAACAGAGTGACAAAAGAAATGAATATTTTTTTCTGAAACTGAAGTGACCTTTCGCAATTTGTCAGCCTTTGTATGTGTGGGAAACGCATTTTGTGGTTTATGGGTCACCAACATTAACATTTCCAAATATGGTAAGTCCAAAGAATAATATTAGTTGTTTTGGGATATATTCTTTGCAATACATCCACACACCTAACAGAGAATATATTTCCTTTTCCTCATATATTTGAAATTTTATTACTTTTCTAGAAATGTTAAGTTTTCTTGTTACCCTTATTGCAAAAGTTACATTTAGATTTATAAACGGAATAATGACACTTGAAGTTTCTATCTTTCTTTATTTTTTCATATAAAAAATACTGAACAACGAAAGCTGTGATTCATGGTGGACACTGACACTTGGAATAAAAAAAAGGTTCCTTTTTTATTATAGTTTTTATTAACATTTCTCTGATGGTTAATATATTTAATAAATTGGAGAAATCTCATGCATGTATAATTGAAGAATTCTTAGGACCATATTGGTAAATCTGCCACTTCTGAGCCACTCATAGGTTCGAATGTTTTTAAAATATAACGCACAAATTCTTTTTTTTTAGTGCTAAGGACGGACTTAAGGAACTTATATAAAGCTGAAAAAAAAATATTTTTAACGTGTAAACTAGTTAATATAGCTAGATAAAACCCGTACGTGGGAGCAAAATCTGTTCTTCTTTTGCTAAATATGATAACTGGACCAAGCGAAATCTTAATGTTTCGAGATTAGTTGTTAAATGTATCTACCTTCATAAGAAAAACAAATGTACTTTCAATAAATACAATTAAATGTGACATGTACACTGCTTGTAGACGTCGATCTACATCTGTTGTTTCTAAATGATAAATATAATGTAGGAGTATTATGTTATGAGTATCTCAGTATCAGCTTGAGCTAGCAGAAAAATGTAACAGACCGAAGGATTAGGAATCGGGTTTAGGGGACAACGTCACAACGGTATAGTTTTCTATTGGGATTTTTTTTTAATTACTATTCAAAATTAGAAATCAGGTTTTTGGAACTTATAAATACAAAGTCTAAGAATTTATAATCATCTATCACATAATATTATATAAATTCTAAAACAAGTATTTTTCGTTTTTTATTCAACTTTATTCTAATTCATTTCGACCTAAATTCTCAACAATATTTCTATAGTCGATTAACACGTTATTTTTTAAATGCTTTGTATAATAGTTTATATTTTTTTTTTGGAGTTAGACAAGTGACCGGTGTTTTTCTTAGAAGATATTCCGACGACGTATGGCGAATTTTTTCTTAAATAAATGTATATTATGAGTTAATTTTCTATTAAGTTTTTAAAAATTCAGTTAAAAAAATAAAAAGAAAAAGCTAAATTCCCAATCCCACTACTTGATACATTCGACTTCTGTTTAAATAATGGCTAGAGATGAACATGGCTGTATCACACATTTCTCTTCTTTTCCCGAGTCTAGATATTCTCTCATATTAAAAATAATTATAACAATTAAAAGTTAAAAACATAATTACTTGGCTACTAATTTTTTTCACCCAGAATGATAACTACAAGACGAATTTGTTAAAATTTGAGTTACAAAATTAGTGAGAATATTTCTAATCACGCAATCCATTATGTTTATTTAATCTGGTTTAATATTAAATCCATTAGGTTGTATTAAAGAGTATCATTTCTCATGTAAATACTTGTCTCCTCAAAAACAACTAATGTTTTATAATTCATGTTTGGATATACATTTTATAAGTAAACCTAGACGTATAATTTCTTGTGTCCAATACAAAACAGTTTCATAACCTGAAAACGTCTGCAAAGTTACTCAGATATTAGTGGATGACACTATGTAGAATTTTTAAAAAATGTTCTTGTTGTTGGAAAAGGCCAACTCATACATCTCGAAGTTCTTTGGATCTAAACGTCAAATCAAATTCAGTATGGCCATTTATTCTCTAAAATCCTATAAATACATGTTGTTCTGACTTTATGTCTTCATTGAATCAACATTAACAAATCCGATCCCCCAAAGCAAGCCCAAGCTTGTCTATCCCCACACCAACACATACACAAAATTTCATCAAACATTATTTCCTTATTTTGAAACGTTTGATCTTTCAAACTCATTCTTTGTTTTTCTTCTTCTAAACTCTAAAAGAAGCAATCGAGATGGCCCGGATTTCGTCAGACCCGCTTATAGTTGGTAGAGTGATCGGAGACGTTGTGGACAACTGTTTGCAGGCGGTGAAAATGACAGTGACTTATAACTCCGACAAGCAAGTCTACAATGGCCATGAAATTTTCCCTTCCACAGTCACAAACAAACCTAAGGTTGATGTTCATGGGGGTGACATGAGATCATTCTTCACTTTGGTAAGCAATTTTCTACTGGTATTTATAGAAATCCAATTTACTATATGATTCAATTACCAAACCTTACGTTTATGGTATGGCGGAAATTGGCTTACCTAATTTGCTTTCTTAATAGGCATTTCTCCATGCGCTATATTTTTACTATATAGTTTCCCTAGATCCGGAATCAAAACATATTTGTATATGGTCCGATCCCAAGTGTCATTCGATTTCGATCATGGGACATCTAAGCTTTGTTTTTGGTGTACACTTATTCATGTGCTTCTCTTTATTTCATAAATAAGACATTTTCTCCACCCTAGGTTTTGTAAAGGGACTTGTTTGAATCCTTTTTTTGCAGAATACATGAGATTTAGTTAGTTATATTATCTTCGTATGCAGTTGTTTCCAGTACCCTATATATATATATATATATATATATATATATATATATATAATAGACTTTTAATTTTCAGAGCGAATTAGTTTTTTTGCAGATACATATGTGACTATGTGTTGTGCTTATTTATGTAGATATAGGATGTGTCACGTGTAGATATATATATTCATGAATATAAAATATTTCAAACAGGTCATGACTGATCCTGATGTTCCTGGACCTAGTGATCCTTATCTGAGGGAGCACTTGCACTGGTAAAATTTTTTCCTCTCAATTTTTCTTAAGAGACATAATTTTATGCGTAAATATATACAACAATTGTTTCCAATGATCAATCTCAGGATTGTTACCGATATCCCGGGGACAACCGACGTGACATTTGGTAAGTCAATATACACTATTTTCCATATAAATGTCAAACAAATAACATATCATATATTTATGCACCCTTCATTAGTTTCATAGAATCCGGAATATTGTAGCCTAATTGTTTAAATTATTGTTACTTTCGTGTTTCTGCATGTGAAAGTTATAAACAAGAAAGGGGAAAAAAAGTTTCATATACATGTCAATTACTATTTAAATACAAATAACATAATATATGTAATGGATTTATAATATACTGGGTTGTAATAGTGTTATTATCATGATAAAACACGGTTTATACCTCAAGAAATGTGTGCGTGTATGTTATAGACGACAAAAACAAATTTGTTTCATATACATACCACTACAAGAAAACAAAGCTGTTTCTGACGAAATTTCGGATATGAAAATACTAAACAGGAAAGGAAATAGTAGGGTACGAGATGCCTCGACCAAACATAGGGATCCACCGATTTGTGTATTTGCTTTTCAAGCAAAACCGGAGAGGAAGTGTGGTTGCTGTGCCATCTTACAGAGACCAATTCAACACTCGAATGTTTGCTCATGAGAACGATCTCGGCCTCCCCGTCGCAGCTGTTTTCTTCAACTGCCAACGTGAGACCGCTGCTAGACGCCGTTGACTAACTTCCGGCGCCTCCGTAAAGTAGCAATTTCCGTTCCCGGACAGTTGTTTCATGCATACTCTATATTAGTTATGGGAGGATTTCTGTATCATATATATATATATATATATGTTTGTATTGTTATGAACTGTTTGTGATTTCAATAATGTTGGCTTTTCTTGTTATGTCTATTGCATATTGATGGATGTTTTTGGTACAATGAATGAAAAAATATATAAAATTGATATTTCTTATTATTGCCCCAATCAATTGGTTGTACTGGTGGCTGACTTTTCTAAAAAAAGAAGTAATGAAAAATAGGGGTGTTTAGGTGTTTGGAAGTTAATTTTATGTGTGGAAAGCTATATAATATCAGTTTCTAATGAACATTAAGAGTAAACAATTAATTTGACGTTCTATATTGAATAGACTTCTAGATAATCGTTGCTTTGTTTTTTTTTTTGTATGATGCTAATGCAAGCACTTGAACGCCAATGGTTCCATATTGGATTTTACCAAACACAAAGTTTGACGTTAGCTTGAACTTGCGGCCTAACACAATTTTTATTCATGAGAAAATAATTCAAATGTTTTTTTATTATGTATTAGTTATAAATGTTATGTGGTGGTTTACTTGTAGGATATTGAAGGTTGTTAGCAGAAGATTTGGAGAAAACAAGTTTGAGAGAAAGTTTGTTGGAGAAATTTCTCAATTAATTCCAAATGAAGTCTGTTACAATCTTATATACAATTGAGTTTGTTATTAAACCGAACTAAACTAAAGAACTAATTAATTTAGAGTTAAATCATCGAAAGGAAATCGGTTTAGCTATACTTAGTCTAATAGGCCCCCTCAAGATGAGACGAAGATATTGCAGAGACTCATCTTGGATTTTAAGTGTTCAAACTGAGCAGGGAACAAAGGTTTAGTGAGAATATCTGCAACCTGATCTTCAGTAGAAACATGGAGCGTTTTAAGCAGGCCTTTGTCCAACTTTTCTCTAACAGTGTGATAATCCACCTCAATGTGTTTAGTTCTCTTGTGGAACACAAGGTTAATCGCAATGTGGATAACAGCAGTACTGTCAGAGAATAAGATGGGAACGATTCTGGTATTGATGCGCAGATCATTGAGTAAAATGACTAGCCAAACCATTTCGCAAGAAGCTAAAGCGAGAGCTCTGTACTCTGCCTCTGTAGAAGAACGAGAGATCGTATGTTGTTTCTTCAATCTCCAAGAAATGAGAGAGGATCCAAGAAACATAGAAAATCCTGTAGTCGATCTTCGACTGTCCGGACATGACGCCCAATCAGCATCTGCAAATCCCTTTAAAGCTAAATCATCATCATTGGCAGAGTAAAAAAGACCTTGGCCAAGACTACCTTTGATGTATTAAAGTACTTTATAAGCTGCTTGGAGATGAGCTGTTCGGGGAGCAGAAGAGTATTGACAAAGTTTGTTGACAGCAAAAGTGATGTCTGGCCTGGTGATAGTCAAATACATCAGTCTGCCAATCAAACTTCAATACTGTTCTCGGTTAGGAAGTAATTCACCATCAGTCTTGGACATCTTGAGGTTAGGTATCATCGGAATTAAAGAAGGTTTGCAACCAAGCATGCTCGTGGATGTGAGTAATCCAGTGCATACTTCCTCTGACATATAGAAATGCCTGCAAAGGTTCTAGCAATTTTCAAACCTAAGAAATATTTCAGAGGTCCAAGATCACGAAGTTTAAAACTCTGTTTCAAAGCATCAACTAGATTTTAACCCTGTGCGTCCGCACGAGAATGTTTTATTTTTGATTTCTAATATAAGTTGCATTTATCTTTTTTGTTTAGATATAATTTGTTTTTGTTATTTATTTTTTTAAATCAAAAAATTGTTATCATATTTTAATTTTAAACAGTAAAATTTATATATTAGTAGAATAAGAGTATGCGTTAATTAAGTATATATTGATCTAATGTTAATTATAAACTTTGTTATTATGTGAATTTAGATTTACACATAAAAAATCTATATATCTATGAACTTGCTAATCCATCCGTTTAGTTGTCTTAAATCATTTTTAATATCTTACATGTTTTGACAAACTAACCCGTATAAGACTATAATTATAATTGTATAACCCTATAAATATTTACTAATATAGAATATTTGGACCAATTGATTATGAAAAAATATAATAAGATATTTATTTATTATTTGTCTCAAATCATCTTAATATCTTACATGTTTTAATAAATTAACTCATGGACCTTAAATATATATATATATATATAACTCTAATCAGCTCGATCATATTATTGTATAATATAAATATTTATTAATCTCAAATATTTGATATTTTAGACCAATTGATTATGATAAAATACGATAAAATATTTATTTACTATGCATTTTTATAAAAATATTATTTAAATTTAAAATTTTAAATTAAATCTCTCCTGTATTTAAAAATTTTCAAAGTATTAAATTATTATCTAAATTTTCGTAATAAAATTTAATAATATTTTTTTTTGAATTTTTTGAATTTAAATTAAATTGAATGCAAATTTTTGTAATTAAATTTAATTAAATTTCTAATAATTTGAAATTTAAATTAAAGATGATCTAGATTTTAGGAAATCTAAAAATATCTAAATTAATAACTAATTATCGAAAATTAAATATAAAAATAAAATAAAATATTATAAAAACTTTATGAGTGTTTGGATGCAAGCACTAAATGTGCTTCTATTTTAATAGAACAGATTAATTGAGTTGCAAGAAGTTCTGTTGTACTGGCGATAATGATGTCGTCCACATACACCAAAACAGCAACATAATCAGATCCTTGAACCTTAACAAAAAACGTGTGATCTCTATTAGAGTGAAAGAAGGAAAGGAGAGGTGAGGCCGAAGTCAACAAGACAAGGCCGATCATCTCCAAGTCAAAGAAGAGGAAGAAGAGGAGTGTCAAGGCCAATGACATCAAGACAAGGCCGAAGACAACTCCAAGATCTCTCAAAGAAGATAAAAAGAAGACAAGACAAGGCTGAAGAAGCTATTGATCAAGTCTAGCCTCGGCCTAAAGAAGAAGAAGAACTGTACGGCCAAGTCAACTCCAAGAGGTGTCCGTACAAGTCTAAGGTTGTGTAAGGCCGAGGCCCATTAGATAAGAAGAAGAAGAGGACGCCAAGAAAGCCTAAAGAATGCAAGGAATAAGGCCCATAAGTGACAAGAAGAGGAGGGAAACGAATTCAAATTCAAGTCTGCTCTCACATGTGACTAAAGTCACATGTGACCGTTTATGAGCTGTCACTTTCAGCTCTTAACAAGACAAAAACGCTCTCTTTATGTCACTCTCAGTCTTGGCTCATGTGTTAGGGCTTCCTCTCTTCCTTTCTCTCTATAAAAAGAGATGTAACCGAGCTTGTAAATGTTACACAGAATCAATGAAGTGATTTCTCTCTTTTATCTTGTTCTTCATTCTATTTCGCAATGTAGAGTCCTTAGAGAAAATCGTTTGTAGTGATTGCCCTTAAGGCAGCCTTATCACTTCATAAACACTCACTTAACTCTTCTTTATTTGCTTCTCTCATCTAGATTACTGAGTCTTGCATCTCAAGAACACAAACTCTCTATGTGTTGTGTTCATTGCTTAGATTAGTCTCAAACTAGATGCTTTCCCTTTATAGAATCGTTTTCTTCCTCATAGATTCGGTTCTACTTATGTTTATTGTGTGGATTCCATCACAAGTTGATGGTCTCTTCTCTCTCTTGAGATCGAGTTTATTTTGTGTGGGTTAAGTGGTTTCATTCACCAAGTGAATGCTTCCACCATTTGTTGAGCTTTGTCTCATAAATCCCAACAATCTCTATAACCTTTAGTGAAACCCAATTGAAGCAGAGAGGTAGAGAACTTCAAAAACCATTGCCGAGATGCCTGTTTCAAGATTTCTTAAGTCTCAGAACTTCATTCTTAGGCAAAGAGCCCCCCTTCCTCTCAGCGTATCCCTCAGGTAACTTCAAAAAAATTTCTTCATCTAAGTCACCATTCAGGAAAGCATTGGAGATATCAAGTTGTTTCAGAAACCATTTCTTTGAAGCAGATCAGCAAACGGACTGTAGCAAGCTTCGCAACCGGTGAAAAAGTTTCAGTATAATCCAGTCCTTCTTTCTGGGTATATCCCTTAGCAACCAACCGAGCCTTGTGGCTGATAACACCATATTTTGACCACTTTTATGGATCGTTTTGAAATAATTTTTCTATGTTTTTAATTGCTTTTAAGTACTTTTATTACGTTCTTCTAGTATTTGTAGTTCCAAGACTCTTTTCAGGTAACTTAGGGAAAAGCTTAACAAAATGGATAAAAAACCAGATTTCAGCTCAGAGTCAAACCGTCAGAAGTTCACCCCTGATTGAAGGCCTTCTCACCGTCTGATCCAGCTCAAATTTGGAAACCTTAAAGATGGAAGTATCAGCTTTCCAGCACACTTTACAGCTTGGCAATCCAACGGTTCAATCAAAAGATACGCAAAGAGCAAGATGTCCCGTAAACCAGCCGGCAAGCGTTTCCACCCGCGGCCAACAGAGCATTTCCCGCGGTCAGAAGCACCGCGACCGCGGCCAGCCACCCATTCCCCGCGGTCACACTCATCCCGACCGCGGCCAGCCAACTCCGACTTTGAAGGCCCATTTCTGAAGCCTGTATCACTTTCCCAGCCTCAATTCCGGAACCCTAGACACCAGAGAGTATTGAAGACTATAAATACATGTCATTTAGGTCGTTTTTTAAGAAAAGAAGAGGAGAGACGAAATACTTTACAGAAATTTTACTTTAAGCTTTGTTTTTAGGTTTTAGGGAGAGAGAGATTTGTCTCTTGAACCCTTGTTCTTTCTTTTTCAATTTCAGTTTCTATTCTAGTTTTTAATACTACGTTTTTTATTTCGTTCATCATGTCTGAGTAGTTTTATTGTTGGGATTAAGGGGTTTTCGATGGGGATCTATATGTTCGATGAGGATTCCATGAG